CCTTACGTAGTAATTAAACTAGACCTCTGTGAAGCTCTATAACCTTACTCGTGCACAATCGTGACAGCGGGTGATTAAGTGAAGGTCTGAGGTCTTAGGGGAGCGCAAAGGTCATGAGGAACTAGGTTAATTGCGAAGAGAGTGTATCTAGGTGCTTAAATAGACAATAGAGCAGGCATAATATGACAACCACAGGTAGCATATAGGAACCCTAGGCAGCAGTAGCTCATGAACACGAGCATGTGATGGATGTCCGCGAGCTTTGCAACTTCAAACAGAAGGATAGTCAAGGGCGACCACAACTACGCCAAAACACAATATCTCTAAACCAAGTCTTACATATTAGATTCTGAAGCTTATCCTAATCATCTCCTAAAGATTTGTATGCCTTGAAAACACCCAGTTAAACTTTTGCAGGGAAGGGCGATCGGAACGGCCAGACCTTTATACCCGAGTTTCCACTACAACCGCGAACCTATCGGTATTATCCCTCCTCATTCAGTGTACTTGCAAACATCCGTCATGATTTAAGATAGTGTGCCTAGGTCTGAAACAAAAGATTTAGCTGTTCAACATGACCATCTTCTAGCGCTTCCAACCCTACGTAATACAATTTAACTTAACTAAATCTAAGATGTTACGTCTAACTTTCTTAGTACATTTCTACTATATAATTAACATAAGGACTACTTACAAGTTTTAACTATAATAATTAAGAATTATTATACAGCCTACTAACTTAGCAGAAGTTACAATGTAACACTAGAATAAATATAATCTAAGAGAGCTAAAAGTTTATAGTAAATTACTTTTTAGTAGAGCTAGTCCTTGTTTAATTAAAAAGCCTTAATTATCTCTTTAAAAAGACAGTTCTTGTTAAAGTAGCAAGTCCTTCTCTTACTAAAGAAGGCTCTCTTGCAGTTATAGGATGTATACAGGATAGACAGGAAAGTAAGCGCAATTTTAAAAAGCATAGAGTAGAAAAAGCATCCTACTTTTATCTACTATGTAAGAGGATCTATAAATAAGAGGCTGTTATTCTTAGCTATAGTAAAGTTCTTCTACTAAGAGTTATAATATTACTGCAACTCTAAGGTTTTCTAAGTAAATGCTAGTAAGAAGAGAGAATAGTAAATTATAACCTAAAAATATTATTAAGGGCAAAAAGTGAACTGTTTGCATAAGATCTAATACTCTAGCACCCCTCTCTCTAACGTGTTCTTCCTTGTAGCACATAATAGAGTTTTTACTAATTATTACTTAAAAACGCCCCCTTAAACGCCCTTCTAACGCTTGCCTATAGATGTCTAATTAGGTTCTATATTACTAGGAAAAATTAACTTTCTAAGACGTATTACAGACTGTAAGAGGACCTCTCTTAGTTTTATGTTACAATTAACAGTCCTCTTACGTTTGTACAACTCACGTGACCGTAACTATTCACTTTTCTGAGTCGTAGTACGTACGGTTAGAAGCGCTGCCATCTTCCGTGGTCAGATACTCATGCTACTGAATAAAGCCAAAGTATGCATGCATAATTCTTCAAGTCCATGACGCCTCTAGCAGAAGGCTGGGAAATACTGCCGACCTCTTCTAGCTGATGATGCACTTTCAAATTGATGAGGCATGATTGTTTCCAGCGGAGCGTTTGCCATACCTGTCCCCAGGAGCGGAGCCACTCTGCCGCTTGATATCGCTCAATGGGCAATTTCACGAGATTCATCCAATTTATTAATTGTTCAAGCATATTCAATGTAGTGATATGAACAATATTTACGAATACAAATGTCCTCCGATGATGCATCCACTTATTCTTTCACCATCCGCTGGCGTTTGGGGAGTCTAGCCAGCCAGTAAATTCCAAATGTTGCCGAAATATTAAACGCTATATAAATGAACATAATCCCTAAGTTGAGCCACCGGTCCTTGTACTCTATCTTCAACATCTTCAGGAAGTCGTCCGTGCGCGCAGCGTGGCCAACAGTACGTAGTACGTTACGTTTAAGCTTTTCTCTGCCAGTAACTTCTTAATTTAGTAGTACTTTTGTACGTAAGCAGTAAATTAATTAGTAAGTACATAACATAATAGTAACTTCTTAAAATTCTTATACTTTTGTACTTTTTGCAAGAAGTTTTGTTAGTCTAGGTTAAAATTATTCTAGAAGAAGCTTTTTAGCCTAGATAAAGTTCTTTAGAGTAGCTAATTTACTCTTTATAGCCTTATAACATAACTAGTTCTTTTAGAGCTGTAAAGCCTTAATTATATAACCTGCTAAGCAGTTTCTATTAATTATAACTATTTTTTTACCTCTAGAGAAGGCTCTCTTACAGTTGTAGCTTGTTAAGGGTATATAAAGAAAATTAAGGGTAATTTTAAAAAGTGTAAGGTAAAAGTAACAACTAACTTTAAGCTACTAAGTAAGAGGTAATTAGAACAGTAGGAATCCCTTCTTAGCTATAAAAAAGTCTTTAATGTAGCTATTATAGTATTATTAAAGCTTTATTATTTTTTACTGTTTTTTATATAACCTTAAGCTTATAAGAAGGCTTATGTTAACAAAAAGAGTTTGCTTATAGCCCTTATTATAATACTTACTACTAAGGAGCTTACGCTAGTAAAGTTATAAATCCTTTTTTTTCTTATTACTCTTTATCTTTTTATTAATATAGTCTTAAAAAACTACCTTTATTAAAGCCTTAGCTTGCTTATGCTACACTAGGTGCTTACACTAGTAGTTTTTAAACTAAATAAGTTATAATTAAAGGTTAAGAATAGTTGCAACAGCACAGTATAATATAAGCAGATCTATAATAATCTTCTTTTAGTATAAGGTTAGCTTTTAGATCCTAAACATAACACTATTTTTAAAGTAGTAATTATTACTTTTACCTTTAAGCTTCTCTTTTATCTTTGTAAGCTCTGTATATAGGTGCTAGAGGTTAACTATAGTTATCTAGATAAAGCTGTACTTACTGTTACTCTTAAGTTTTTTTATTATAAAGTAAAAAGACTAGAAAAACTTAATAAAATAATTAACCTTTTTTTACTTTTTTTTAAAAATAGTTTTATAAAGAGTAGTAGCTATTAACACATTAGCACTTTATTATTTACATAAAAACTTACTAATAAGCTTTTTTAACTTATAGCAACATAAAAGCATAAAATATATACTATACTAGTGTACTCTGCTGTCCTAGATAAGATTAAAGGTGCTAAAACTCTAAAAAGAATTATTAGCTAAAAGTAAAGCTTAAAAAGTTATAAAGGCTAATTATTATTTATAAAATGCTAGCACTACATTAATAAAGTTGTGCAACTTGCCTATAACACTCTGCTATTAGTATAGCTTAAATTAATTATCTAGAGCAGCTTAGGCTAGAGCTTTTTTAAAAGTAAAGACTCTCTAGCTATATATAACTGCTTTAATAATAATTTAAATTATATAGCTAGCGCAGCAGATACAGTGTTTAGTAGTAAAAGGTAAGTAAAGCTTCTTAGCTAAAGTTATAATAGTTTTTATATTATTATTTAACATATTATTAGCAACATAGTAATAGAATTTAAACATAATTTTATAGTTCTTAAGCACTTTAATAATCTCTAGCACTTAATTCTCTCTAGTGTAGTCTTTATATAAATTATTAAAGCTAATAAGAAGGTCTCTGTGCTAGTAGTTAGCATCTGTGTAAAGGATGTTAGTGTTATAGTTTTAATTTTCACACTAACACAGCTAAGCTAAGGTTTTACTAGTACATACTAAAAAAATAAGCTACTACCCTTAGGCAGAATAAGTAGTTTAGAGAAGTTTATATATTAACACTTAGTGTAATTTTACTATAAGCTAATCTTAGTATTATTTAAATCTCCTGCTTCTAGCGCACTAGACTATTCTAGATATAGGTTAAAAGCGTAGTGTAGGAAAATAGTATAGCGTTAAAAAAGTTAGCGTAGTTTTAAGTACCCTATAAGTTTTAGCTAAAGATGTGTTTTTAAAAGTTTAATTTTAAGAAATAACCTAGTTTATTACTGCAGCTTAAAAAGCTTTTTTCTACTAAACCTTATAAAAAATAATTTTTATAAATTTAGCTACTTTTATTACAGCTTTAAAAAAATTAGCAAAAAGCCTTAAGCTGTTAAGTAGAAGATCTCTACTAGCATTAATTTTATGCTTTTTTTAGAGATAAAAGATAATATAATTATAACTACTAATAATTTTTACAGCTCTATGTTGCTTTTAAAGGTGACATTTTTTGCAAAGCTACACCTTAAGAATAGTGCTGTTATTATTCTTATACACTAAATCCCCTCTATAACACTAGACCTAGGAGACAGGACAATTGCTATAGAGTTAACTTTTATACTTTACTTAATAGCTAAGTCTTTCTAGCACTAGCTTCTTCTTTCTTAGCTAAATATTATCCTACTCTATTATAAAAGAGGCTTTAGAGTTAAGGTGCGCGTTTACTAAGAAATTATAAAAAAATACATCTTTGCCTAGAGCTAGAGTTAGAGTTAAGGGCACTAACAACTTTAAAAGAGCTAACTTTAATTTAGCAAGATAATAAAAGCTAGCATAATAAAGCACCTTAGCTTATTAAAATAACTTTAATAAGCAGAAAGATTAGGATAAGGCTGTACACTTACTACAATAAAGAAATTAAGACATCTAGCTTATTATAATAATTAATAAAATAAGGAGCTTTTCTAGGGCAAAAGTTAACTATTTTTATAAGGGGCTACTTAGCATACTAATTTGGCTACTGTGCTATAAAACGCAAAGTTTTATTTAATTATTACTCTAAAATATAACCTTAAATAAAGCTTCTAACGTAATAGCTAATAGGGTCTAAAAACAGGAGGGAAATCTCCTAAAATATAACCTCTCTGACCTGTACTACAGTACGTACTTAGCAATTTACTGTACAAAAGTTATGTCTCACATTTTGACTACTTTTGTACGCCTCACGTGATTACTACGTTCACGTAGTTACGTTACGTACTACAGACTGTTGGCCACGCTGCGTGCGCGCCAATGGACAGTACTCGCAAAACCAGTAGCATTGTCATCGGACAACATGCCTCCCACGGAGGAGATAAATGGAGCGAGGTATTGCTTGCAGGACATAAAACCAGGAGCCGGAATCTTCAGCAACTCTTTAGCAGAGCATGGGACCTGTTTCCCTACGATGCCTGTAGCAAACATTCCTCGAATGAGATAGGTCAAGGGCGACAACCAATACATAAACGTCCAAAATTTAGGAAGGTCGTTGTAGGGAACTAGAATGCCGCAGAAAATTAGAATGAGGTAGAAGAGCAAGGACCCGATATTGATAATAGTCTCCCGATGTTCCATCCCCACGGTCAGCAAGCAGGAGAAAGTCGAGGTGAATAGTAGGAAGGCCAAGAAAAATAGGAACATGAGTGCTGCACGTTCACGCTCTTCTCCTTGCGGGATATCCAAATTCATGCCCATCGTGTAGTAGAGGAGGGCAAATGCCTGTGCTGACAGAATGATCTGGAATATAGCATCCGTCAAAATTGCGGAGAGAAGAAATGCTTTCCATGAGAAGATCTTGGACGGGCCTTCTCTGGCTTCAAAGATTGCTCTTCGCTCTGTAAATTGGGGGACAGTTTGCTGCATCATGGCACTGAAACTAGTGAAGAAGAGAAAAATGGAAAAGAGCTGCGTCTGCAACCCTTGAAGATCCTCTGGTTCTTTCCAGCATGAGAAAGCAATGACCAATGTGGAACCGCAAGTGAAGAGGAACTTGGCCCACAGGAAGACCGGGTCGCGCCAGTACTCCAATAGCGCGCGTTTGATCAAGATTTAGAGTTGGTTGATGAATGGCGTGGCGAAAAGTGAGAGTTGACTGGCTTTAGACGTTCGATCGAGGACTGAGGTAGAGGCCAGCTGCTCGATTTCCCGTAATAGCTCTTGTTGCTGCGACGAATTCTTCCACTCCTGATGCCATTCGATGGAGCTTTCTGGTGCGGTCGCTTCCATCATCCATTCGGCCGGATTCTCATCTTGTCCACAAGGCCGCGCGCCTTTGCTCTCAAGATATGAGACCATCGTCTCGCACCGAGGCCCAACCTCCCCACAATAGAGAGTTCTTCCACCCTTCTCAATGAGAAGAAGCCGGTCGAACATCTGCAATAAAGTTGACGAAGGCTGATGAATAGTACAAAGAATTCTAGACACCATGATGCGTTAATATATGTGAAGAAGCGCTCGCAAGCTTTTTTAGTAACGTGCATATCATCCACGCAGTTTGACTATCCAGCCCAGACGTCGGTTCGTCGAGGAAGAGGAACAATTCCGGGTTTGCAGCGAGCTCGACACCAATTGTGAGTCGCTTGCGTTGCTCCACATTCAAACATTGGCCGGGTACGCCTAATAGGGCATTTGCAAAAGCCTCCATTTGCAAAATTTCAATTACTTCCTCGACGTGAGCTAGTCTTTCGCCTTTCAGGATGTGTGGTTGCTGGCGTAACCAGTGTGTCCAACCGTTAGTTACGGAGCCTTTTGGAGGCTGTATAGTACAGTTACGGAAGAGGAGGCTGTTACTAACTAACTGTACAGAGGAGATGACGTTAGTGTACAGTTAGGATACAGTAACTAAAGTATATTAAAGTATTATAAAGTAATTGCGCTAAAGCTAAAGATTATACCTAATTAAAAAGTTATAATACCCTTTATAAGATCTATAGTTATTAATCTTACTATTTTAATATACTTTATAAGCTTAGTTAGCTTACTAGTAATAGTGTTGTTATATAACTAATTTTTTTATAGTTAAAAAGACTTTATTATTAACACTAATAGTTAATTTTTTCTTATTATAATAGTCTTTTTAGCTTATAAAAAGTACTACTTACACTTACATACAGTTGCTAAGATTAATAAGAAATTAAAAGTAATTTTATAAAAAATAAAGTAGTAAAGTTAACTTTACTACTACTACTACTTAAGCAGCTAAGTAAATAGCTAATCTCTAGTGTACTTATCTTTTACTAAGAAATTAAAGTAAGAGTCTAACTTATTAACTTTTTACCTTCTTTTTAAGCTACAACCTTTATTATTATAAAAGATAGTAAGGTTAACTAAAAAAGCTTTTTTAAGGCGCTTATTATATAGCTTGCTGTAAGCTACTAAAAGCTTTCTTTATAATATCTCTAGCAACACTACCTTCTTTTTCTTCTTTTCTTTCTTAAAAATCTCTAAGTAGTGTGTATAGATCTTTTAGATAAACAACTTTATATGCTTATACTAAAATAAGTAGTGTTTCTAGTAGTTTTTAAACTAAAAAAGGCAAAAAGACAGGTTAAAGATAGTTACTACATAGTAGTAAAAGATCTTTAGCTCTAAAATAACAGTTTTCTAGTACATAGTAAGCTTTTTAATGCTAAAAGCAACGCTGTTTTTAAAGTAGTTGCTGTAGTGCTTATAAAATAAGCGCTTTTTTTAAGCTCTAAGCTTATTATTAATTACTTATAGGTATATAATTATTTACTATAAACTTTAGTAGATTTAGTGTACTAAAGCTCTAGAAAACATCTTTTTTGCATAGTGTAGTTATAATAGCTATAAAGCTATTATAATACTTATTTAAGTAAAGAACTAAGTTACAGAAGTTATAAAGCTTTCTAACAACTTTATGCTATTAATAGAGCTTAAATTAATCTTAAAAAGCTATATTAGCTAGCTTTTATTTCTATAAGCTTATATTATTACTGCAGATAACTGCCTTAACAATAATTTAAATAGTATAGCTAGCGCAGTGTATTTAGTTGTTGCTGCTAAAGTTAAGGTTTATATGTAAGTTAAGATAATTAATAAGCTAGATGTTATTATTTAACATATTATTTACTATAAAGCAGTAGAATTTTAACTTAATATTATACTTCTAAAGAACTTTAATAATAGTACGTGCTTAATTTATACTAGTTTTGTTACTATATAAGTTTTTAAAGCTAATAAGTAGGTCTTACAGCTAGGTGTTAGCATCTATGTATGCATCTATAAGCTATATAAGCTAAGTTTAATAAGGCTTGCTTACTAATAAAATGCGTAACAACTTCTAGAATTAAAAAAAAGTTAAGACTACTTTACTTATTTAAACTTAACATAATTTTACTATAAGCTTTATATAACATAGTCTAAATCTTCTTTTTTTACTTTATAAAACTATTATAAAGATATTATAATAGTGTAGTTAAAAAAGTAAGAAAAGTGTTAAAAAGACTAAGTTAATTTTAAGTAATAAGACTTTAATATCTAGCTAGAGTTAATTGCTATAGCAACTAATTAGATATAACTACCTAGTTAATAAACACCTGCGCTAGAGCACTCTTCTAGCACAGCGTATAAGCTACCTGCTGCCTTGCTCCTGCTACCTCTGCTGCTGCTATAAAGGGATTTAAAAGCCTCTAAGAGCTATCTAGTAGTACGCTAATGTTAGCATTAATCTTATAAACTACTTTAAGATGCTTTACTATATAAATGTTACTATTAATAAGTTTAGCTACTTTTTAAACACTAGCTTTATAGTAAGCTTAATAGAGCTATAGCTGCTTTTTTTTTTTACTTACCTTAGTAACATGCTGCAGATCTGCACTGTATCTTTACATAAATAACACCTTCTAGCGCCTAAAAAGTTATAACTTATACTTTACATAATATCCTAGCTAATCTGTGCTTAATTTAATGCTAGAACACTATATATTATTTTAGTTAATCTTAAAGGCAATTCTAACATTATAGTAGGCATTATTTAGGTGCTCCTTAGCCTAAGTATCTTACATATGCTTTAAAGGAGTTGCTTCATACAAGAATAGTGTAGGTAGGCTAGGTAAGGCTATGCAAGCCTTCTCTAAGCGTTAGGATAAGGCAGCATGATATATCTAGGTAGCAGAATAGCTAGATAAGGCATGTAAGAATAAGGCTTATAAGAATAAGACCTATAAGAATAGAGCCTGTAAGTTAGTAACACACTAAGATAACTACATTATTAATTAAGATAGAATTAGAACATTATAATAGGCAAAAAAATAAAGTAATGTACTTTACAGGCAAGTTGCTTACACACCTAAGTTGCTTACTTTTACTAAAACCTTACTAAACTACTTTTTTTATACTAATATATTCCTAACTAGCTTAGCAGCCTGCGCAGATAGTGTGGGCGTCTATCTAGATTAATCGCAGACAGAGGGTACGCTAGAGCCCTCTTGTAATTATAAAGAAAGACCCTGCTGCTCTCTACTATAGCTATTTAGCTAAGAGCTACATCTAAGCGCTTAAGAAAGGTCTCTTGCGTAATTACTAAAAAGAAGATCTATTCTAGCAGGATAACGCGCGCATACACACAGCGCGCATAACATATAAATAGCTGTAAAGGCACTATATTAATGTTACTAACTTCCCCCTCTACTTTCTAGACCTTGACCTTATTAAACCTATATAGTAGGCACTTAAAAGGACCCTTTATAGGCTGTACCTTAAAATAGCTATAATAGGCAACTCTACAGAGAAGTAGGATCAGTTCTGTGCAGCATTAAAGGAGGCATAGCAGAAAATACCTAATTTACTAATAAAGAAGCTTATCCTCTTAATGCTGTGCTGTCTACAGGCTCTGCAACAAGCGCATGGCTACTAGACGAAGTATTAGAATTATATAATTAAAATAAGCTATTATTTATGCTTATGTGACTACTTAGGGTGACTATATAATTAATTAAATAGAGGGGGCAGATGTTTAGTGGGGCTTGCTAAATGCTGCCCGGAACAGACTTTTGTCCTAGTACTGTATATACATTCTCCGCGAAATTCTCTGCGCAGGTCTTGAGATGAAGCACCTATCGTTGTAGTCAGCAAAAAATTCGCTGACAAAATTCCAGTGCTTTGACCTTGATAGCTGATGGTAGATTCGTCGCTCACAAAAATGCCTTCGGTGTCGCCCGCTAGAGTTTTCAGCAGAGTGCTATATCCACTCCCCGGCCTCCCTAGTACTACAAGCATTTGCCCGCTCCTCACAACTCCGTCGATTTTTTTGGAGGATATGGAACTTCTTGGGGCGATCCCTTCCAACAATCTTCTTCAGAATCGACCATACTACCAAAGGCGCACTGGCTGGGGTATGGCGATAATCGTGCTTTGAGGTGAGTCCATGAACACTCAAGTCCAAGAACGCAACTCCAAGCTGATTCTTTTTCGAGGAGAGCCCATTGTCTTTGGATCTATAAGAAATTTCCTGGAAAGAATTGTGTTTTGAGCGTTCTTCTATCCTTGGCTTCTCATGTTGTTGCATTTGCTGTGACTTTGTGATGTTTCGATCGTTGATGTCTTCCGCAATCATTGTTTTATGTGCGAGGGTAGTTCTGTTCGAAGCGGACAGCGGTGGTCTTGCGTGATTGTCGACTATGGAGAATTCTACTGTGCCGCAAATTCCAAAATTGTAACTTAACCGGAATGGTTGATGCGGCCATTTGCGACGCGGTTCATTCTTCCGCCCCAACCTAGTGGATGACTCTTGCCACGCAGCTGTGCCGCGCTGCGTGTCGGCGCAACTGCCAGTGGCTTTTCAGGATGAATCAATGTTCCACAGCATCGGGGTCAGAAATTCAATGAAACGCTGGTGCAAGCGCCAGTAACTCAAGACAATGTTGTAAGAAAAGAGCGAAAGATTATGTTGGGAGACCAACGAGGGTGGCTTGAGCTTCCCTGCTAGCAATGCTGCATGCTGTAGCACACAGTTCTCGAGTCTATCTACACCTGACATTTACCAATACATCGGCGTCCTCAGCCGGGAACATGATTCCCAGTCCTGGTTTCCTCTCGTCCATTTCTGGAAAGGCCGCGCTCGGATCTCGAAGCTCCCAGATGAACTTTGCAACCAGAATCGCAACGACAGTACAAATCTCATTTTGAGCAAGGAAGCGTCCTGGACAGTATGTTAAGCCTCCTCCAAAGGGCCTGAAGCTTGGGTCTTTCGCAAGGCCTGGGTTGTCGAGAAAACGCTCTGGACGAAATGAGTGGACGTCGGTCCCGAAAACAGACTTGTCAAGGAACATCTGGCGGTATGAAATAAGAACCCGAGAGCCTCTTTGGAGCAACTTTTCTCCTATCACACAGTCATTGACAACGTCTCGAACAGTGATAGTCGAGGAAGTCAACCGCAGTGTTTCGTGGTATGAAGCTGTTAGCAGAGGGCAAGCGTTCAGTCCTTTGCACAACTCTATTGGGGAAAGAGGGGGCTGAGATTCCATAAGATGGTACAATTCTGCTGCGATGCGTTGTTTGATACCAGGGTTGTAAAGCAGGTAGGCCATGAACCAAAATGCCACTTTCCACGGATTACCTTGGATCCTTTATCGCCCATTCCATTAGCGTACATAAGAATTATATACGGTGAGGTGCAATACGTACGGCCAGAAGAGCATGAGAAAATAGGCTCCAATATCTTTATCTCCTGTGCCCACTGCGCGCATCTCTGTTTCCAGAGTTCTGACCATCCAGCATGCATCGCTCCGTTCGTGCAAGGGCATCTCCGCGTATCTTATGAACGCAGATGTAAGCTTCTCTTTGTCTAGATAGACCTGGTTTGCGAACAACCGGGGTAAGTGATAAGTGAACTTCCAACTGTTGCTGTCGAACGAGGAAAAGGTCTCAAGCAGAGCTGGTTCTACTCTGAAGATGGCTTCTCCAAAGAAGGATTTAGTTGCTGCTTCAAGCATGGAATGCTTAATCCAATGACTGAGCGAGACGGTCCGCACATTGCCCTTGCCCATTTGGTCTAAAATTGCAGCGTCCGGCGCTCCATCCCACGATAGCCGCTCCAGAATATTCGCTATTAGACGAGATCGTAATACCTCCATCTCTGGGCCTGGGTGTAATTGGACCTTGAACATATCTTCGCAGGCGTGGATTAGAGGTTTGAAATTTGGATTTGGAAATCCGTTTTGCGCAGCCCTGGCCTCCACGAATTCAGGAGATGGTTTAGTCCACATTACCTGAAAACCCGCTTGCGAAGCACCGAGCCGCAGCATCATGTCGCGTACATATGCATCGAAAGTGAGATCGGCAATATTACGAAAGACGGCGGTGGTATCCTTCGCGGAGGTTATGATGTAGGTATTTTGGCCAGCGAGGACGATGTTGAACGGTTCTCGATTTGAAGCGTATCGGAGCCTGTGAGGTCCATGAAAAACCTGTATGGCTGATACGATGAGAGTCCTACCTGCTCCGAGTGACGAGCGTGTTCCCGTCTCTAAAGAACCCGACAATGTGACCGAACCATAGAGGATTGTCAGTACTCTCAACTTCAAAAACGATTTTGGAAAGAATAATCTCACAAGGTACGTGGTACGGGATAAGTTTCGGTAAGTTCTTATTGAGCCTTGGGTGGATTGTGAATGTCCAAAGGCGCCAAACGAGCCACAGTGCCGCCAGACCAAAGATCCCGGTCGTAGGTGTGTACTTAACGTCAAGAAGCATTGCTAATATCTGGAAACAATCACACTTCAATGTTATGTTGTGGAGAATGGAACATTTCGTGAGATATTTTACCGTAAGTTGCGGGAAGCCGCGGCCTTGAACGTTATACGTGCTAGGATGAGCTGCAAGACCCCATGCAACGACCCAAACAGTATTGCGGGCCATCACAAGATACCCTGGCTGCATATGCATGCGTGTGTTGCTAGAAGATGCTGCCCATGTCTCGCGCCCCTGCAATCATCTTAACGTCATTGTGGCTCGGCCCGACGACTCCAGCTATGCCGCAATTTCAGATACTATGGTATATTAAACATTTTTCGTGGCATCGAATGGAAATGCTTCTATCCTAGTCGGGAATTACTTCCGCAACGCCATCTTGAGAAAGGGAAACAGGGTTCATTGCACAGTGTTTATTAGAACGTAACTGTTACTATTAGTAGTGTTTTTAAGGCGTTACTAACATTAATAAGGTTTTATTTTTATAAAAAGAGGAAATTAAAACAGCTTAATAAGCAGTGATAGTTAATGCTAAGTTAATTAATAGTAAAGCTACTATTTAGTGTAGTTACTGTAGTATTGTTACGGCCAACAGTCAGACCGTAATAACCCAACTGGCTGTCCCACACAGCCCGAACGATGTCGGATGGAAGACGCTTAGCCCCGCGTTAAATAAATCACGTGACAGGACGGATAAGGAATAGCTTCAGCTTTTAGACAAAAGCCTTGCGGAGTGCACCGTCTAATAGGGACTAAAGCACTGCAGGCAATGCAGGCATTGCAGGTGGATGCAGGCAATGCATGCAACACCTGCAACGCATGCAAGCGCATGCAAACCCTATGTATATAGTCTTAATTACAACTATAGTTAGAAGGTTATAATTACTATTTAGTTTATTATTTAGTCTTTACCTACTTAATAAACTAAGAGGTGTTAAAACCTTTATAAAAAGGACATTACTGCCTTGTATATCTTGCACTATATATACCTCTAATCTTATCCTAACAGATTAGGTTTACTAGCTCCCTATACCAGCTGCTAGGTTAAACCACAACCTGCCTCCTCTTTACCCTATCTCCTCTACACTCTGCTTAACAGACTGTACACCTAATCTAGCTAAGTCCTACCTCTTCTGTTAACACACTACTATAGGCTAACGTACTTCTAAAAATACTATTTTACTAGAGTAAGGATTATAACAGTAATCACTACTACCTGCAAAGTATAGCCACTACTACCTTAGACATTAGCATAACAGGTGCTTTAGCTGCTAGCACTAGCTAGACTCCTACAGCAACTAAAGAGGCGCAGAATTAGTAAATACTTTACCTTTAAAACAAGCTTAAACAGCTTAAGCAGCACCTCTAGCTATAGAAATAATAAAGACCCTTAAATGTCTACTAGATCTAAGCCTTCTAGCTAGAAGTAGCAAACCTTAGAAACATTACTTAAGAAAAAACTAGTATTAAATCTAAAAAGACCCTACGCCTAGCCCCCCCTAAAGCATTTAACAGCTCTGCTAAAGACCTAAAACTTTTCTTTACTAAATGCTACCTTTATATGTAATACAACAAAGGCGCCTTTAAAATAAATAAAAAAATAATTTTATAAATAAGCCTACACCTAGAAGAGTTGCCTACTATCTAGTTCTAACTTTACGCTAATAACTAGATAAACTATAAGACTAATAGTAAACTCTTACTACTAGAAACATAGAAAGTCTTTAATAACATTAACTTATTTAAAGCAGCTCTAACTATAATTTATAGGCTAGTTAATAAAGAAAAACAAGTAGTTAATAGAATAGACACTTTTAGACAAGGCAACAGCTCTGTCTAACAATACGCAGCCTACTTTAGGGAACTGCTAGCTATCTGCAGATAGACAGATAAGAAAGCTATAGGATAAATATTTTATAAAGGGCTTTTAAACACTATTAAAAATAAATTTATTTATACTAGAAAGCCTAAAAGCTTTAAGGATTATGTTAAGAAAGCACTTACTTATAATAAAAGACATGCTAAACGCTGTAGTAAGAAAAAAAAGGGCTAGACAACTAAAAAACCTAACTAGTTCTAGAAAAAAAGGAAACTCTATAAGCTAACACTAAACTTATAGACCTTAGTTACGCTAAACATATATATAGCTTTTTAAAGAAAAAAAGCAGTACCTTTAAAGGTGTAAAGCCACCTCTAAATAAAGAATAAAAGAAATAGCTTAAAAAAAAGCATGCCTTAACTATAAAAAAGTAGGCTACTTTTATTAAAAATGCCTAAACTTTAAATAGCTAGAGAATAAAAATAGTAGACTAACTATAAAAGTAATGTATATAAAACAAGGCCTAACAGAACAAAAGATTCTAGACTAGCTAGATAAACGCCTTTGCTAGTAATGCAAAGACAATTATAAATCTAAAAAATGCTTAATAAAATACTAAAAAGTTAAGGTATAAGACAGTAATAAAGTCTTTAAAGCACTAGAACAAGCTGCTACTTATAAAGAATAGTAAGGCTACACCTAAGCTACAACATATATTGTAAATGTTAAAAAAGGAAAAAAAAAAGTTTTTTTTAAAATAACTAATAACAAAAATCTCTTCTTAAGAGCTAAGATATTAATTTATTTATAAAAACTACTAGAAGTGCAGCAGCACACATTATTAAAAGGATTATAAGAAATTAATGTATAAAGTATATATTAATAATAACACTAAAACTTATAGTATACTAAAAGAAATTGCTAAAACACATTATATAGTTATAAACAAAGAAGAATAATAAAAAATATTCTAAAAAATCCTTAATAAAGAAGAAGGCTTTAACTAGCAGTGCACGCTACTAATAACACCTAAACTATGTTGTAAATAAGCTAACACGCCTCCCCCTGTGTTAGCTATTACCTGTAAAGACTTAGAAACCTAATAGGACAAGGGATACTGCATTTTATGCAGAAGCAAGCAACACAACAAGTTTTAATGCACTTACTAAAGCCACCTGCTATAAATTATTAGAACTAAGGAATACTCTAAATAGACATAAGTTTAGCTAATAGTTATATAAAACAACCTTAAGGAATGTCCTTATACTTAGTACCTATGTAATAACAAGTATTGTATTAAACACTAGCTAACTAAGCACAGGGCTGGCTAGTGGCCACACAGAACGCAGGAAAGCGCACTAGAAACTAATATATTAACAGGAACAACTTCTACCTGTAAAATGCTACACTGTCTTTATTATAAGAACAGTCTAGTCTATAAATAAGAACTATAAATAGAGTGCAACAACAAAAGAACATGCATGTTCTATTACTTTTAATAGAAGGCACACTAGTAAAACAACTAGATGCTATACTATTACAAAATAAAAAAATGCTTAATGCACTATAACAAAGTGCATAATACTAAAACATTAGAAATATAAAATATAATTAGACTAAACTATAGAATATAAAGATGCAGCTAAAACTGTTAAAGAAGGCAATAAAATAAACTATAAAGAAATACTTTATAAGCTTTACATCCTTATTACAGTAGAACAAGGACTAGGCTAAAGCCTAATAACTAAAATTACCCTCTAACGTCTAGGCTAAGAGTGGACTAGACTTGCTCTAATAGACAGTAGATGCACATTTACAGTAATTAACTTAAGATAGGTTAATTAGAACAACATACTATTTTAGAGCAAAAAAAACCTTTTTAGAGTATTCTTAGCTAATGCCTTGTTAATAGAATATAAAGTAGGATAAATTTAACTTAAAATAAAAGAACTTATTACTAAAGCTAAAGGAATAAAAAATTAGATATCTTTTAACATATTACTACTAGAAGGCAAATACTAAGCAATCTTAAGCTATAACTAGCTTTATAGACATAACCTAGTAATTAACTAGTAAACTATGTTACTAACTAGCTAAAGTAATAAACAAGTAGCATAATTAATATTTTAAGAAAACTCTAACAAAACCTATTTATAAGAAAAACTAAAAAGGTTCCTTTATTAAGAACTAGAAGCTTAGGCTGTCTGCCTAATAAAAAAAGAACTAAAAGAAATCTCTTTTAAAGAATTTAAAAAAAAATAAGACCTTAACTAGGTTAGAATTTACTAAATAGCCTAAGAAGTAAACAAACTACTAAAAGAATACTAAGATTACAAAGATATGTTTAAAACCCTAGAAGATCTAGAAGAACTGCTACTACACTAACCCTAGGACTACGTAATTAACCTTAAGCTAAACCTATAATTAAAAACTTACAAACTACAACCCCTAATAAAAGCTTAGAAAGACGCCTTGCAAGAATATGTAGACTAAATGCTAGCTTAAAAACACATTAGAGAAAGTAATAGTCTAATAGCATTAGCAGTAGTCTTTACTAAAAAAAAAAACAGTAAGGTAAGAGTATGTTAAGACTATTAAACCTTAAATAATAACACTATAAAAGACTAGTACCCTTTACTAATTATCTAAAACATTATAAATTAACTTAAAGAAACTAAGCATTTTACTAAGTTTAACGTCTAAGACAGATTTAATAAAATAAGAATTAAAAAAGGACATAAATAGATAACAGCCTTTTAAACCCTAGAAAGACTATATAAACTTCTTATTATGCTATTTAAACTAACTAACGCCCTAGCAACTTTCTAATAAGTTATTAATACTGCACTTAACCTCTATTTAAATATATTTATACTTATATACCTAGACAACGTTCTAATATATACTAAGAAAGACAGAGTAGACTACATATCTAAAGTAAAACTTATACTTAATTAACTCTAATAATATAGACTTTACCTATAACTAAAAAAATGCAAGTTTAATATATAAAAAACAGAATACTTAGAATTTATTATTAATAGTAAAGAAATAAAAATAGACCTTACTAAAGTAAATAAGGTACTTAACTAGCTAACACTAATAATAGTAACAGAAATTAAAGGATTTCTAGGCCTTACTAGGTACATATAAAGAATAATCTAAAGCTATTTAAAGATAGCAC